TTTTCTTATCCTAAAAGTTAAAGCTGTTAAGTGAGAAAACACAAGTTTTTATTTAGCTGATTGTGATTTGATTATGTGTTGATTACCTCGTACTTACAACCTATCATTTGACTAGCACTGGCTTTGTTAGGAGCATATATAAACCACCATCTGAAGTCATATCACTGTCTCTTTTAGTAAAACCCCTAAACACAGTATCTGATCACTTCAGATTGTCTCTATTTGAACTTTACATTTGTACCAGGCCCTGGCATGAGTCCAGGTCAACCTCTGGATCAGCTGCTTATGGATCAGTTGTCCTTTATGGTCCAGTTAACCAACTCAGGGTCACCATGGTCCACTGTTCAAATAATTGAGTATGGATAGGGGAGACAATTATAAACACACCTAGAATAATAATCAACTCACTATGTCATTCTGGAAGTGTCTTCAGTTAAATTTAGGGGAATTTAGTGAAGCTAAAGTTGAGATTCTTCATAAAAGTTTGGAGTTAAGAATATTTATGGTCTCCAGGTAGCAAGTAATAGCTACAGTTCTCCCAGCATTAAGAGTGTAATTATACATACTCTTTAAAAGGGAATTGTAACTGATGGATTTGCCGTGTGTCTTTGAAGAATCTAGATGAGATAAATAAATGGTAACACTACGGGAAAAGAATGAATTACAATTGGATCCTCTGAGCCACTGCCTCAAATAGCCCTTCAACCTCAAAAGATGAAGAGAGGGTATTTGAGGTAAATCCCAAAGCCCACCTAGAATATGATGCTGAAACCTGTGATGAATATAGAATTGGGTTCTTCAAAAGATTCACATTAAATACGTAATCTAAACTGAAAAATTCTGCAGGGTTATTTGTTCTTAAATGCTCACAAATTACTACTGTAAACAAAGTTGATTATCATAATGCTATTAATGAAGCAGGATATATTCTTTTCTCCCTTTTAAACTGCCTTTGCCACAGGGAAGTACAAATGAGGTAAGTTAAATTTCTTCTTAAATTAAGAGCATGTATTTATAAACATTATGATATTCTTATTTTATAAACCAAGTAGCCATTAAAGGATATCTCAATGTACATTAAAAAAATCTTTGGTGACTACAGCTCCTATGTTCTTCTAGCATTTACTATTTTAATTGTGAATTTTGGCAATGGTTTTAAAATATTTAACTTATTCTGGACATGATATATGATTTTATCTGCATATGAAACATAAGAATTATCATGAATATTTTATGGTTTCCTGAATGTTTAGAAATTTTCAAAATTCTTAAGCTCCAACATTGGGCATTTTGCTGTACTGCAGAGTGAAACAAGTACAGTTATGAATCTTCAGGAAACTTAACTACTGGAGAGTAAATGAAGCTACAATCTTTAGAAGTTGTTTTTAACTTTGGCTTCTGAGTGAGTTACCTATACCACTTTAAGCAGGCTCCAGACCAGTATGCAGTGTAACTTTCCTGTAAATCAGTGTTCATTTCTCCCACTGCACATGTACAAAACTCTGTATCTGAGGAGAAATCTAAGCTTCTAAGAAGGAATCACTTGTTACATAAGAAAAATTATCTCTGTGGAATCATTTAGGTCATTATCTTCAGGAAGCAAAACTGATCTTCAGCAACTACAGAGATAGCACATAATTCCTCAGTTTCTGCTGTTATATATAACTAGATGATGTACTCCAATCAAATACCAAGGATACATTTAATATTTACAAGTCATAAGGAATGATTTCATGTAAGATTCAGTAAAATAAATTCACTAAAAAGGTAAAAACAAATTTCAACTTTGTAAATCAAGCCTTAAGAAAAAAATCTAAGCTTTTAAGAGAACATGGATTAAACTGAATGTGTTAGAATCATAATACAGTAGAACTAAGGTTGCACCAATATGCATTCATAGAATTGATGATAGTACAATTCAGACTTAAGAAAATCAAAAGAAAGTAGCCATGCAGACTCAAAAACATAAAAATGAATGGAATTTCCTGGGGATTGATTACTATTTAAGGATATCAGGCTTTTATCCAACTTTTAAAAATATTCAGACTTTTTCAGACTTCAGAATTACATCAGATAAACTGGCCTTAACTGAGTGTTCATTATGTGAAAGTCAGAGGAGGTAATGAATCTTAGACACTAGCTGAGGGGAAAGAAAAGAACATAAAAATATTTATGGACACATAAAGCAATAAAAATTCCTATGATTCAAACACTCAGACAACAATGACAGAGGTAGTTTTAATGAAGACTCTCTGACGTAATGTTTCTGAATAACGTTTTGTAAGATATGAACTAATTAATGGAAACAAGGCAAGAGAGCATATTTGAGAGAGCCCGGTGTGGCAGGGGAGAGGGTAACACACCTGCTTATCTGCATGACCATACCAGGAAATCATGGAGAATAAAAGTGGTCCCTTTTTGAAAAACCTATCAATAAGCTCCAATAGCAAGTGGTCTACCTATGTATAATAAAGTAGCTATTGGCAGTCAGAAGTTATGAGCTCCTATAATTCCTCTAAAACTAATAATATTCACAGTATGAGTTTTCAGCACACCCCTGGGGCACAGTGGTTAGGAAACTCTGCTCCAAAAGGTGTGAAAGGTAAAAGAAAATGCAGTCTGAGAATAGAACATTTACCATGAAGATCGACCCACACATTGGACAGCTGAAAATACTTTTGTGTTCTAAGATATTAGCTATTAATGTATATCTCATACAGATTAATGATATAAGGATTCCAAATTTAGCATGCCAAATTTGATATCGTACCATAAACTAATTACACTAAGAAGGAAAAAAGTTATATCTGTGTATTTAATACAATGTTTTATAATCTTGATTCTTTTATTTCTAGGCTTTATACAAGCTTTATAGTGCAGCAGCAACCCACAGACATCTGTATCATCAAGCTTTTCCTGCACCAAAGTCAGAATCTACTGAACAATCAGAAAAGAAGAAAATTTAATCCAAAATTTCAAAAATACAGGTGTGCATGACCAAATTGTCAGTTAAATATTGTTTTACATCTCCATGCAAACATTCAAAGTGCTTCCATCAGAACAGGGTAAAATACCAAGCACCTCTGAAGATTGCAAAATGGTTTAGTTCCTTTATTTCAGTGTTTAATAAGCAGATGTATGTATGCATGGTTTTATTTTGTTAACATGTACAGTTTCCTGATTTTGTCTTCAAATATGCTGTTATAATTTAAAGAATTTGTCTATTTATGATAACAGTACATGTGTTCTGCTTGAATTTACTAAATTCTACTACCGGGTTATAGTTAAACCATGTAGTAATATTACTCCACATTTGGATATGCTCATTTAATTTCTACAGAAGGATTTTTAAATTATTTCACATAACCATTTGTTAAAACATAGCATCATAACTCAATAGGCTTGATTCAATCTATACCATCTTACATATACCATTAGCTCTTATTATAAAAGACATATAAGAGAGCTTTCAGTTGCTTTATCAAAAACTATATATTGCTTTTCTATCATGATTTAATATAGAATATAAACCTCTTGATCAAAAATGCACAAAAAAATCACTTTGTATATGTATTTGAGTTTCACTGCATTGTATATTTTTTCATTTGGTACACAAAGAAATGTATTCATCATAGGTTTATTCTTTTAACATGTGAACTATTATTAAAGTTTACTCTGGTTCCCAATATTAAAAACAACTGAATTTGGAAATGTTTGGGAGGTGATGATATAGAATGATGACGATTTCTATCTCTTTTTTTAAATTCAAAATGCATTTTCTTTCATGTTGACACCATTACAAATTTAGGTTTCCATTTTAAGGAATGTACACTAAGCCCTTTTAGGTATCTTCCAATTCTTTTAAACCAGTGATTCTATATTGTTTTTATAATTACTGAAATCTGTAGTGGAATTTCATTGAGCTTACTTTCTAGAGGAAAAAAAATTGTGGTAATGAAAAAAAAAGTAATGCCTCTTATCTGGGAGCTCTAAAACAGAGTAATTTCTAACTTTCTTAGAAATGGCTAGGCTTTAATTAAATAAAATGGTAATATTTAGTAAGGAGTAAAGAATGATGATTAAAACAGAAGAGTGTGTGAGAGTTCATAAGATATTTAAGTTCACATCTTAGGAAAGTCTGATCACATGCCCTGCAAAATAACTTTTCCCACTGATAACATTCCAACTAGTCTATTTTCATTTTGGAATACCCCTTTCATTATACTGCTTCCTTTGCCTATGGGCCTCTGAATGGAAAAATCGAATATATATAAGTGCTATGCATAAAACATGGACTCAAACGCAACACATTTAGTTTCCACAAAAATATATTTAATAAGCTTGTTATATAAAATGAAACATTTAACATTTTCAACATTTTATCAATAATTCAGATTCACTGATATCTAACTGGGAGTGCTTTATATTTTGGAAGATTACCTAAACTAAAAATTTATTTACATATTTACAACACATGTAAATATAACTGAAGAGCTATTTCAACAAGTTTTGAAATTCACAGAATTCTAGAGATTTATAGGCTAGACGTGCCATAAATTTGCCTGCAATCAAACGTACTGTGCTAATTATGAACAATGTCTTAATAACTATTAAACCAAAGGAAAAAAAACTGGGAGAGAAATACTGGGTTTTAAAGTTCTGTGACAAACTCTTAGAAGATAAAAGATATGTAGAATCAATTTAATGACCAAGATTTCTTAATGAATCCCTGATTGTCATTTTTGGCAGTTCAACCCAGTCTGTTGGGATGGCAACGTGCTATGCTGTTGAAAAGCCTCCACTGTCTCATCAGCACCATGTTACTAAATGCCATAAAAGCCCTGGTCCAAAGTAAGGAAGTACTGTAATGTTAGCAACTCTTGAGTGCTGTGCACACTTTTCCCACACAGGCTAAGGCCTTATACCTAAATTTATTCCTGAAACATTATAGACCCTTCACCCTTTCATACCAAAAAATACTTTCTCAACATGTTTTAAAAGGGTTCTTTACATTCGGGGGAGGGGGGGGGAAGGTGACTCCATACATTACATATAAAAATTTATCACAATAAAGGTCCCAAATCCCATTTTATGTTTTGCCCTATACAATGGTAATATTTAAACCATCCAATTCCAGACAATATTCCACACTAAAGCAGTAAACGTATTTTTTTAAATACTGCATAGATTATCTCTCTCGTTCTCTGTTTTTTGAAGAAAGGTACTGCTACTGTGAGAGTTTACCAACTGATCATTTCCTATTTAATATCTGGTTAAATGACATTTCTTGTTGCATTTATCTCCATCGAGAATATTCAAAGCAGTTTCCAAATATACAGCATTTAGAAGTGTTTGCCATGTTGGCTCTTAAACTCATTTTTTTTCCTCAATAAAAGAATATTTTTAATAACAAAATACATGTAAAATTAGAATTTTATAATTTCCAAAAAAGTAAGCTGCCTTTATTAACCAAAGTACTTGTTTGCAGTTTTTTTTTAATCTGTGAAAATATTTTAAAGCCCTTATAATAAAACTTAAATTTTATTTTTAAAAAATTAACTTAAAAATTCTTGCCATGTTGCTGGGCATACCACTGCTGTCTCTGCTTGCGATTTTCCAACTCCGTGAGAAGAGCCTGTCTGTAGGCTTCATACATTTTAACAATCTGTTCCAGTTCTTTCATGAAAAGCAACTTTAGCATTCCCTGGTATGTATCCAGGTCAGCCAGCTGGAAGAGTTCCCACTTCAGAATGTGGTCATATCTGTTTTAAAACACAATCAGACATATGTTCACAACATATTCATAAATATGTATTTATAACAATAAACTTCTATTTTTATAAATTTCAATTTTATTATAACTAAATAAACGGTAAATTTCAATTTAAAATAACCGAGTTTTTAACTGCTAGTTAAATACACTATTTTTTAGGGAGAAGAGAAAACTACTAATATTACTTCATTTCAATCTAAGTTAAAAAATACCCATTTCCATTCATTTTATGTATCAGTTATTCTAATATTAATGCTAGATAATAATGAAGATTTCAAACCACTGTGGTTCTGTAATTTCTGAAGAACATATTCCATGCTATTCATAAGTTCATCCAAAGTTAATTGTCAGGAAGGTAAGAATACTTTAGACCACATTGTTCCTGCAATGAATATAGAAAAATAGGCAAGATCATCTGTGTCATTAGTGTTGATAAAGCTTTTTGAGGCATACTGTTTACTACAGCAAACAAGGAACTAAACAGGTAGAGGAAAAGGAACCATCATTTGTGGGCTGAATAATCCTGAGGTTAAGTATAGAATATTACAAACAAACAACAAAAAATACAGAAAAACTCAAGCAGAAAGGAAAGAATAAGCTGTTTTCAAAATGACAGAATAAATAGACTGTAGAAGACTGCACAATGTGGGGCCGGACTCACATGAGTTTTTATTTATATACAGTTCAGAAGGTGTTTAGTCCTTCTTCAATGGTAAGGAGATCACATACTGAGATGAAGTATACAACAAACGACTAAAGCAGTAATTTACACTTTGAATTGAAAGGGACCTGAAGACAGCACTCTACTCCAATCTTCTCATTTTATAGATGAAACCTAAAGAAGCTATATACATATCTCTTGCAAAATTGTTTAGTGATTAAAAGGTCAGAAAGGCAGAGAACTATATGGACTAAGGCACATCACAGTAATAGTTTTGAATGATAATACCTACTAAGACTAGAGAAAAAACTTGAACAAGTTTTTTTTTTTTTTTGCGGTGCGCGGGCCTCTCACTGTTGTGGCCTCTCCCACTGCGGAGCCCCAGAGGCGCAGGCCCAGCGGCCATGGCCCGCGGGCCCAGCCGCTCCGCGGCATGTGGGATCTTCCCAGACCGGGGCGCGAACCCGTGTCCCCTGCATCGGCAGGCGGACTCTCAACCACTGCGCCACCAGGGAAGCCCCTTGAACAAGTTTTTATAGAGCAAGGCATATACCTATATTAAAGTTATACTTTTCAAATCATATTGCACAACAGACATAATAGGAAGAACTTTAATTGTAAATTCTAGTAAATTTATTCTTAATAATCATTTATAACATTTCCTACCCATTTCCTTTGTTTGGTAATTCATTTACCATCTTATTCCAAGGGGATCACGTAATATTTTTTAAAAAAGGGAAACAGTAAACAAATACAGAGCAGCCAGTATGAGCTACAGACTGTGCTTGGTATGTTGACATACATTTCTGAACAACCTGGTTATGTTCCAGGAATACCAAAAGCACAGCACAGTACACAAAAATCACAAGGTAAACGTATTTTGTTGGATCCCAAATTTACTAATTTACTTAACTGAGCACTGCCAATTTACTAAAAGATATACTTGGCAGAAAGCTTTATATTCTCTTTAGTGGGAAACTCCAACTATTTGCCAACATATATTGGAGAAATACTACAAGAAATAGTCAATGAGCCTCCATGAAGAAACAATTGCAAGGTATTTCCTAGAACCTCTGCCATTCATGTACCTTAAGATTATTAAATAATTAAGATTATTTGTTTGAAACAAATTCATAACTCCTAACAAAAAACCTTAATCTTCCCAAGTCTGAATTCCATTGCTAAGGGGCATTTCAGCAATGTCTACTGATTCAAGATACTTAAATTTATGCCAGGTGAACTATAAGAACGTTAAAGCTCATTTATCATCTGGGACATTCTAGCAAGGAAAAGAAGGGAGAATATGGTAATATTGGTAAATATCAAACTTGTTTGTAACACATGAATATCATTCTGTATAAGCATTCAAGTTTTTTTAAAAAAGGAAAAAGAAAAAAGCTTCAGACAATTTTGACTTCCCAATCACAGCATTTAGCATCAAGAATAGGATTTTCTGTAGAAGCAAGAAAATCAGAATATTTAATGAAAATACTTTGGGAAGAAGAAAAAGTACTCTAAGGAAAACCACAGATGAGAAAAGTATGCAATGTGTCAATTTCCATTCCAAATCCTTGCTCCTGCTGTTTCTATATAGTGATTTCCCTTCTGCTTATGCCCGCCATTTACTTTTCTGAAGAAAAGTATGTAATTCCCATTCTTTTCTTCTTAAGGAGCCAAATAATCTGCTTCAGTTTAACTTCTTAGCCACTATACTCTAAATATACAGGTAAATCATTCAGAAAATAGGCTGTTTACTCCAGTATCCTTTTCTCATAGCATCTCTCTTGCTATATTTTTCCTACAGCAGTATTCTATTCAAACAGTACTTATAAATAACCCATATAAGCAAACAACAATTGCTGTAATGCTACCAAAAAACCTTGTTCACACTCCAGTGGATGCTGCCTTCAGGAGCCAAAAGTACTGCTGTTCCAGCCCCGGGTATTGTAATGTAGCCCAAGTTCCCTGTGCCTGTCTTATGTAACAGTATGCCCATTCTTCCTTTCCTCCTACACCCAGAAGTGAATCAGCAGTGATACTGCAGGATCACAGACACAGGGATAAAATAGAGTCTGTGCCACAATGCTGTTGGGGACTGGTGTTGCGGGGTGGGGCGGGCATGAGGAATAATGGAAAGTAAACATGTTCCTGATGGTCTTTTTCCTGTTAAAGATTAAATCTTTTAATTTTATCCTATAGTTCAGCTTGCTTACAGGTGCATGATACATTACAGACTTTTGAGAGCAAACTTAGAAACATACCTTTACTAAAATTAATAAATAAAAATTTAGAACATTATCTGTTCTAAGTCAGTTCTGGAAGTATATGCAAAAATAATTTTGGTAAGTTACTGCTAGAGATAGAAATAAAGCATTTTAGAAAGCTAGATAATGTCAATTGTTTGTTAAACAAAAGGAAGAAATAAGCTAATTTTTTGGATAAGTAATTGATTCTCCATTATCTAATTCATGGATAACAACTCACCTTCTGTTGATAGAACAATATTAACCATTTCCAATTCTCTTTAGAGACAAAAATTGAGTATCAACTAAAAGGTAGACCTAGACCTCTTGTTGTAAGCAGTAAAGAAGTACTTGCTCTCTTTTCTCACTGGGCCATTCTGGGAGAAGTTCTGATCTATTTGAAAAAAACTTAAGTTGCTAGTTTCCTAAAGTTCTATAGTTAGCTCACAGAGCCAGAGTTGAAAGGGACTGTAATCTTTAGGAGTCTATTTCTTTTCATCAGAAGCAAAGAATTCCATTTAAGTACCATCTTTTTCCCCCAAGAAGGAAAGCTTTTTATGTTATTTCTTTCTAACAACGGCTATAGAGTAGAAATAAAATAAAGAAGAAAGAATAACCCTACTCAATCTTATCAACTCCCAGAAATAACAAAGGTTAACAGGCACATATTCTTCCAGACTTAAGGAAATATAAATACATGCACATATTACATATGACTTAGGATCAGCATATGAACAAAGGCCACAGACAGTAGATCAAGTGGTATCAAGAGTGAAAGAAGAGAGGGAAAAAGGGAAGAAAAGTCCATCTGCTATCATTCCTCATCCTATTCCTACAGTATATGGATATTATCAGATAAAGAGGTTTCTGTAGCTTAGCTAAGACACCAAGACATGCTTAATTTTATGGATGAATGTCTACGTAATTTCAAATAAACTAAAACCAAACTTCTGACAAGCACTGTTTATACTCTGTATAATAATATCTATAATTAAAACCTTTTTAAAAATTACACCGACAAGGCTTAGATTTGACTTAGGAAAAAAAAAAACCTGACGATTTTAGACTACAACCCTCATAATATCATCTTGTCTCTCTGCATCAGGCCACACAGATCAACAGCCATGAATTTATAGACTGAAAAGATCAGAGGGAATGTAAGGGAATGCTATGTTGGCCAATAATTAACAAACAGTTCATAGTAAATGACCAGTAACTTTATGAGATTTAATTATTTTATTCTAAATTCATTGTACAATCATCTTAAACTTTCTAAAAACTCTTCTTTGGGCTATCTTATGCTGATAGTTTTGGTTTTTGAAATACAAATGGAATATTAAGAGTAAGGCTACAAAATGTCACCTTATATAATTGTTAACAGTACTGTACATGCAATTATTATGAGTAAAATACGTAGCAAAGTACCAGGAATTTAATAGATACTCAGTAAGTGATAATTATTATTAAATAAGAAGTAGTAATGACAAAAGTTAAGAGTATGTACTTTGAAGTTAGAGAGAAAGGTTTGCAATCTACCACTTAATATTTGTGTGATCTTAGCAGAGTTTTTTTCAGCTGTAAAATAGGTTTTGGGAAGATTATATGAGATAACATATGTAAAAACTTAGCACAGTATGATACAGGAAGCACTGGATTATCAATAACTATTTACTTTCAGACATCCCCTTTTCTGAAATCATAGCACTTTGTATATACCACTGTCACTGATCCTTACCACACTGGATTATTGATCTGAGGACCTACTTCTGTTTTCCCAGAAGAGAGAAGCTCTTTGAGGCAAATATTTCATTTATTCATGACTATATTCCAAGAACAGTGCCTACTATGGCACCCAACAAATATCCTCAATGAGCCTAGCAAACTCATAGCCGTCTTTAAAGACTACTGCATGTATTTTCCTTTTTGGTGCAGCTTTCCTTGCTCACTCATAATAATAAGAAACCATTGTTAAGGGCTTACTCAAGTCAGCCACTGTACCATTTGATTTAAAATGCACGAACACGGACTTCCCTGGTGGTCCAGTGGCTGGGACTCCATGGTCCCAATGCAGGGGGCCTGGGTTCAATCCCTGGTCAGGGAACTAGAACCTGCATGCATGCTGCAACTAAGAGTCTGCATGCCACAACTAAGACCCGGTGCAGCCAAAAATAAATAAATATTTAAGAAAAAAAAAGCATGATCACTTTTAAGCCTCACCACACCAAGTAAAGTAGATAAGATTATTATCCCCTGTATTTCAGTAAAGGAAAAACACTTAGAATTAAGTTCAATAACTAGCCCAAGGTCATTCGGTAAGTAGGTGACGGAGACAGAAATCACGCTTTCCTTCCAGACAGTTTCCTTCCTGACTGATCTTAACCACTATTCTATACCTTTACCCACAATAATAACAGTAACCATTTACTAAGCTCTCTCAATGTGCAAGACACTGTGATACATATTTTAGATGCATTATTTTATTGAATACTCAATAACCTTAAGAGAAGGTACTATTACTATTCCAATTTTCAGAGAACGAAACTAAGTTAAGCACCCTTCCCAGGGTAACAAAGCTAAAGTATCAGTGAACACAGATCATCTCCTCCCAGAACTTGAGCCACCACACATACTATTTCCTCAACACCCTTGTGTCCCGCTTTGATTCACCTACGTACCTAGGACTTACCTGGTTCCTTCCTTTTATCACAAGTATTGCATCACTTACTTACAAGTTATTCTACCCCTATGAGAATGTAAGCTTTTTACTGCATCCCTGTAATAGCCTAGGTCTACACACAATAGAAAGTGAAGATTCAATAAATATCTGTAAAACTTCTATTTCTAATCAATGACTTTTCAACTTCTTAAGCTGTGATATCCCTTCTTTAATTAACAATGGGCTTTTAAATAATATATTTTTTTAAATGGTGCTGTGGGCTTTAAGCAGCCCAGAGACTCCATTCAGGCTTTTCTACTCACCACTCAACAAACATTTGTGCTGTAAATTCACTTACTTCACAGGGGCTCGAGCATAAACCTGAAGCCAGTCAGGAATTTCTGCCGTATGATAAGGATTTGCAGGTACCAGAAGGGACTGATTTCTTTCAGTTTGCTGTGGCTGGTATGTGACAGGAGGAGGTTGATCATACCGAGGTACACTAAGAAGAAACAATGTTCATTAGGATAAAGGCCCTAAATAAAACATGAAATATAAGAATAATATTTAAGTGTTTTTCAATGTGCCTCTTGCCCAAACTTCTACCACCTAAAAAACATAAGGATCAGGCTTTTTTTTAAACCATACTATAGGGGAAGTAAAATGCACCTTCTCTTGGATACTTGTATGTCACTAGTGATAGATATAAAACTAAGCTAAATCTTTACATATTTTTAAGAGAGTTCATCTGGTTGATATTTATTCTTTTCAAGGGCAACTTTAAAGAAGGCTATTAAAAAAGTCAGAGCTAAGTTATAATCTTTATACAGAGACTTAAAACTAGAATCAAATTTTAGTAATAACTAGTAATTAGCTATAAATTTATACTGGAAAAGTTGATAATTTTTCTCAAAATAAGAATGGATATTTTCTTTCTCCTTTAGGCTGAAAAGGGGGTTTGGAACAGGTACTACAGTAGGAGTGAGTACTGTGCTTGAAATATCCACATAACTATACTATTTCCTTTCCACTTTTACCACCTTAAGAGAGCATATGGGAGTTAGGGTTGATTAGAACCTGTTTATAGAACCTGTTTTAAGTCAGAGACTTAAAAAAAAAAAAAAAGACCATGCTTTTAATTAGTTCTAACAGCCTATAAGTTGGGGGAGGGGGGAAGGAAAGAACAGCAAGGTGGGGTAAGGGCTCTTAATGGGAAGATGCTAAGGAAAGCACTGACCCACTTGAAGGTTAAAGACTGAATTCCGGGAGACCATAATGGCCTATTCCATAATGGCCTATCTTGGAGATAAAACTGGAAGAGCCTGCCTCCAAACATAAAGGTTTATGTGTATATCAGGAAAGATCATTCCAATACCAAACCAGGACTAAAGTAACTGTTGGATTAGACTGTAGTTAACAATTTAAAGATCAATGTGCAAATGGCACTGAATTTTATCTTCAACTCTTCTTTCATAAGTAGGTGCAAAGTGAAATGTTCCTTGATAGAACTGGGAGGTGGGAAAGAACTGAGGCTTCGAAGTCAGATACACCCTGGGGGGAGTGCGGGTTAACCTCAGTTTGGCCAATTACAAGTTGCACGAATGTAAGCGAAACTGCTTCACTTCTCTAAACCTTAGCCTTTTTATTTGTAAAACCAGAATAAATTCATACCAAAAATGACTCTTCTAAGGATTAAATGACCTAATATATGTCAAGAGCTCTGTATAAGGATTAGCGTAATACAGACAACCAAACAGATGCTAATACTACCTATCTGAGCTTAAGGAAGGTGTTTATTCTCTCCT